AACAAAATTGCTAACTGAAAGTTAACATTTGGTTAATTCTTAGGGGTCGTTTGCTTGATGGATTTGGTTCATGCATTTGGGACTCAAATCCCAAGCATGATGGATTTTAGCCAAGTCCATTGTTTGTTGTCAGGTGTTAAATCCGTGGGGTCCACGGATTTGTTCCCATTTTTGGATCCAAATCCGTGGACCCCACGGACTTGTAAATCCCACATATTGGGGTGGGATTTGTAAATCCTTGATGGTTAGTTATATTTATAGCAAATCCATCATAATTATATCATCAAATCTATCATGCGAACAATAGACTCTTCAAATCCATGATGGTACAAAACTACAAATCCCTCATAAATCCAAAGGTTTTTTTGAGCCAAAACCCTCATTTTTCAAATCCAACAAACAAACGACCCCTTAGTATTTTGATATGTTTGGATAATATAAAAGAATCTAAAAAGGTTTTGGATAAAAAATAGACATTATCCATCATTCAAATTAAAGTAAATCTTGAATGAATGTACAAAATTCACGTGTTTTCTTGTCCATCAAACCACAAGTGATGATTGACATCGTTTTTATATGAATCGCCTACTCAAAATGATGATTATGAGACGAGTGAATTGAATATACAACCAAAAAGTGAGTGCACTAAAAACAAAACTATATACCCATATATAAATGACTCGGAAATAAAAAAAAATACCTATATATAAATGTTATGTATATAACATTTAATCATTAAATAATATAATATAAATACCTTTAAATGGGTCCAGCCTCCCCAATCGTTGCAAACATCGCTACCGCTGAGATCAAGAATAACCAATTTTTTCATATGAAAATTGATTAGATGATCATCATCACCCAACCTACCTCGATGATATCTCATTTTAAGCCATCTTAAATTGGGAAGAAGATTATCAAAGTCACCTTTCAACTTTGCATCAGGTGGTGCTTTGAAATACCTCAAACTTGATAAGTTCACAAAACATTCACTTGCCAAGTTTGTATAAGGCCGTGGTGTTGTTACCTCAATTGCTTTAACTTGTTCTGATCCCTGAACAAGTCATTAACCCATAAAATATTTATTAAATATAAGCCAGAGTTGATATCTTTAAGGAGATCGGCTTATCATAAATATAGGAAATTTTTTAAAAATTAAATCAATATGTTAGTGATATATGCATAATTATATTAATAAGTCAATTACTAGTATAATTCATTGAATAAGAATAATGAACATGTTATACACATTTTATATGCATTTAATACACGCGGATCGAAATCATCAAAGGAATGAAGGGAAATGAGACGATATAATAATTAAGAAATTAAAAAAAAAATGCATAAAGTACGTATGTGAGTACTATACATGGGAACATGCATTTGTACTAACTATGCTATAAACAAGCTTATCTAATTATATATACATGTATCATTTAGCAAATTTAGATTTGAAGTAGATATGCACTCTATATATAACCATATAGAAGAGTAAAACATGTTGGGAACAATACCTTTTTTTCATGCAATAACTCTACAGCTGTTTCTACCGTCCATATTCTACTCCTCATCCATGGATATTCAATATTTTCTCTACGAACTATTTCTCTGCCCATATCTCTTAATTGATCATGCATTTGAAATCGACAACCATCTTGATCAATTTTGACCATCGACCTCTGAATAAGAAGATTAATGTTAATGGTTGGATTGAAGTTGCAGTCATTCCACATATAGAAAGGCTTTACTTTCTTTCTCCCAATATAAAAACAAGCGATATCCAAAAATATCTCTTTTGCCTCATATTCCAATGCATCGTAACTTATTTTTAATCTTTCTATGGCATGTTTCTCAGGCACTTCTCTTAACTGTTTCAATTTTGCCTCCCAAATCGATTTCTCTTCTCGGTGCAAAAGCGATCCTACAACCTCAAGCGCCAATGGAAGTCCGCCCATGGTGGATACAATGTCGTTCGATAATATTTCATAATCCGGTGGGGGATAATCCTTCTTAAATGCATGCTTGCTGAAGAGTTTAACCGAGTGAGAAGGACTCAGTGCTTGAACTTCATACAACTTGCATTTGTTTTCATTCAATCTACTTAACATTTTGCAGTCTCTTGAAGTCACAATAAATCTACTTCCAGAAACAAAGCCCCGAGGATTCCCCACAACCTCTCCAAATTTAAACTCTTCATCGACATCATCAAGAACGATAAGAACTTTGAATTGTGAAACTCTATCCATTATAATTCTCCTTCCTTGACTAACATCACAAACACGCTCCTCCTTTCTTGTAGCATCTTCTATTATCTTCTTTTGTATTTTGAAAATACCATCATTTTGATGTTGTGTTTCTCGTATGTTTTCCACAAAACTACAACGGTCAAAGTGAGATAGTATTTTGTTATAGACAACTTTCGCAAGAGTGGTCTTGCCAATCCCACCCATGCCATGAAGTCCAACCATTGTCACGTCTTTAAAGTCTAAACTTAGTCTCTTCACTACCTCTTCTACATGACCATCAATGGCAACCAACTCATTTGTTTCTACTGTGGAATAGAACCTCCGTAGGTGTGACCATATACTATCTGAAACAAGATCTGCATATTTACTTTGCCTGAAAATTGAAAAGCGTTGCCAAAAAATCGATCAAATAAATTGTCGACAATGAGTACTGTTAAAGTTCAAGTAACACCAGGTGGCATTTGGATCGGATTCGTGGATTGGATTGGTGGATCAATGGATAAAATGGATTGGATCCAATGGATTGGTGGATTCATGAATGAGATCAAATGGATTGGTGGATTGATCCATGAATCCAAATGACAACCATGGCTTGGACCAAAATGTAAATTTTGAAAAGTTCAGGTACTAAAATGTCACGATGAAAAATTTTAGGTACCAAAATGTAATTTTCCAATGTTATTTTTCGTATAAAAATATAAATTTTAGGTACCAAAATATAAAGTATAAAAAATATAGGTACCAGATCGTAATTTGTCATTTGGATCCATGGATTGATCCATAAATCCACCAATCCAATTGAGTTTGGATAAAAATGGATTGGATTTAAATGGATTGGATTAGGTGGATAATTTGGTGGATGGATTGGATTGGATTCATGAATTTGGATAATAATTGCCATCTCTAAACACCAGCCCTCTTTAATTTTCCTTGTTCCTCAAATGAGGAGGCGCGAATTATCGAAAAGAAAAACCATAACAAATCAATGACCCCAAAAAGAAAAAATGAATGAATCAAATAATAAATGTGATAATAAGAGCTAGGGTATGGAAGTTACATACTCGTCATTATGTGTAACGTGCCATCCTTTCAAAGCTCCTACCGTGGTTAGAGCCGCTTTCCAATTTTGTATGGTCTGTCGATCAAAGTTCTTCTCATGTTCCCGAAACGCATCCCGATAAGGGCCGGTTTGATGTCGTACGTCCCTCGGGTCGACCATGTAAAAAATTGGAAGTACGATGCGCCTCTTGTCTTGCCTCATGTTTTCAACAATTTCGACGAGCTCCTTGAGGCACCATCTGCTATGAGCGTAACTCTTTGATAATATCGGAACGTAAATCTTGGACTGGCCAATAGCCTTAACGAGAGATGGCCATATTCCTTCCCCCTTGCGGAGTTCATCGTCATCCTTAAACGTGTGGATTTTTAAGTGAACAAGAAAACGAAATAGGATATCCGTAATTTGATGACGAGTGTCTGAACCTCTGAAGCTCAAAAACACCTCGTACTCCACCGACGGAAAGGGTAACAAATCAGAAGAATCAGTGGGGTCAAAGTACTGCGCCGCGGGAAGGGGCAGCTGTGAATCTGGCTGTTGACTGGTGCTATCGCAATTGTTGTCGCTGGTTTCGTCATTGAAAGTGCTTCTCCTTCGAGACCACAACAGCTTGTAGAAGAGAATCAATGGAAGCACCAGTGCGGCAAACGTCGCTGCTCCTCTTATATTTGAAGTCATTCCTTCGCGATCGTATAAAACTTATGTTAGTCCTCGTAATTATAGTCAAATTATATGCAACAAAAAAAAAGTACCAAAATTCATGAGATATGTATATCTGAAAATTGTAATTTGGAAAATCCTAGAAATGCAACAGCTTCATAAAAAATGAGATAATCGATTGGTAGCTGACCGCTGCTAAACATGGCCACGGAAATTCTGCGATTCTTTTGCCACGGCGTAAAAGATAATCGTCGCTAAAGAGCTAGTAAACGCTTCCATATGTATAACTGTTTTTCTTTTCTGTAACCTCAAAAGGCATGAATAGGTTGAACGACTCGGTTAAGATAAACACAAATACACAATTTAGCAAGTATATAAATGTATGCATAAGTGAAGGCAAATACATACTCTGAATGGTAGTTTTAGTGACGAGTAATCCTTCGTCGAATTTAGGGGAAACGTTCACGGATAATTGCTTTATACCGGATGGCTCAGATACTGAGAGGAACGGTTGATTGCTCGTCATCATATATAGGTATATGATCGAGCGAGTGATGAACACATTTTCCCCCATTTGAGCACTTTTCCTTCTTCTTTTGGTTGCAAAAAGCAGGTTCTCGAGTCGAATCAGATTCTGTTACCGATGTGAAGGCAAGTTAAAATAAAAGAAGGTGCATGGGAATTGTTATGCGATTGCGAGGGATATGTTCTTAGCATGCAAACGTTAATCCAACACTACTTTAAGTTTGACATGTATTTTCTGACGTTTCTTTTGGTTGGTCACTAAAAACTCTGGTTAGCTGTGTGATGACTAATGTAAGCAAACCAAGAAAGTTTAAGGGGTAATCAACAAGAAGAATAAGAACACTGGCAGCTGAAACGCAAACTGGAGAATATGGTACGTTGATAAAACTTGATGATTGGGGAAAGGAATGAGAACATTCGTTTCCTGTCAAATATCAAGTGAACTAATGATCCACACTTGTTCCCTTCACTTTAGGAACTTCGCCAAGATAAAGTCGTCTATGTTAGGTTGTCGCGTGAACTAATCATAAACACCGACTTCAGTTTCGGAGAGCGTATGGAGCAAAAGTCTGATCACGTCTTCTCTATGCACAATCCAAGACTAGTCCTACCACCAGTTAGGTCGTCGCAAATAAGACTCCGATATCGTGACTAGACGTGTGCGTCTAACAAGTAGTTTTCATATCATGACGACTTGCCTATCCTCCTTCGGATGCCAAGGTCATCAGTAAGCATTCACTACTCGACCCGCAATACTCGAGCAAGAAACAGCAACGGATATTACTGAAATCGTCGCCTAAAAAGTACCAACTCAACTATATCACATAAAAGGACTTTGTGGTCTAGGCACGATTTTCGATGCCGATGAATAAACTCTATCAGAATGCTAACGGAAGTGCCGTTACAAACTAACTATAAAAGAAGACACAAGGCAATGACTTTATTTCCCCACCTTAACCTGGGCAGTTCGGTTGGCAGAATTCAATACAGGAACTCAGACCTTGCTCTTTCTGCTCTTTTATTACTTGTGACGAGCCACGAACGAACTGAGTTTCAGAGCCTGGCGTTGCGGAGCTGCTGCTTCAGCATGGGGCGTATGTACTCTTGGTAGCCATCGGGGACAACAGAGTCATTCAGAGGATCCTTCCACGCCTCCTCGTACAGTTTCGGGTACACATTTCCGTCGTAACACCCAAGTATTGATCCCAGGTAGTGGTCGGTGTAGTTGAATGCATCGACAAGTGCAATTGCGTTGGGACGAACCTGTTACTCCAGACAGTGTCCAGATATAAGTCTAATGTTACTTAACTCTCTTCCGGCAAGAAGAGATAGATATGAAGCAGAGTGAAAAATATTGCGCACCTGAGAGAATAATGACCGAAGCTGATCATTTGCTAGGGAAGCTTGCTTTGCAGAAATGGCACCAGTGGAGAGGAAATCCCCTAGGTGTCTGTTGATGAGGTTCAAGGCGTAAATGTTGCAGAGGTTACGCAACTGCTGTTTCACCCCTTCCCCACCTGGTATATCTTGTTGCAATTTCTCAATGAACCTGAATTTTAGAAACATTGGTTACATGTTGTCACAGATTTACGAGAATGTTTACGGACTAAATATGTTGGTTCAGAGTCATGGGAAAGTGTGAGCTTACTTAGAGACAACAATCAATTGGCAATGAGCGACAGCAGCCTCAGCCAAGAAAGCTGAAAGTTCTGCAAAACCTGGACAGAAAGGAGAAAGACGGTACAAGATATGTAATGAAACCTTAAGGCCATATCAAGCAAAAGATCTAAGCAAGAGAAGCAACATAAAGGACCGAAATACGGCGGCAGAATAAAGAGGCCAACTGGTATAGTCAGATAAGATGAGTCAAACAACTTTAAAAGCAAATGAGCTAAGAAGAAGACATACCCTCTTCAGGGTTCGGAAAACTGCCAAGCTTTTGAGCACGGTTAACACACATCCTAGCAGCCCTGGCTTCAAATACCTCAAGTATCACAGAAGGGTTCAGCCAATCCTCAGCTGCATCAAATAAAATAGTTATTATCAAAACACCAAATTATGTTCCAGGTATATAAGAACAGCATATAAGCTAGGGAGTTGATGATACTTCAGGAGTCAACTGGAAATATGAAGGAGTAAGATGATTTTCACTATCCCTGCAACAGTTGACATATATGAATGCGGAGATAGCTAACAAGGCAAGGACTAAAACTCGGTACCATTCTGAACACCACAGCGATACTGCATAAGATGTTCTACGCGCCCTAGGTAAGCTGTTGTTCCAACAGGTTTCTTTCCAGAAGGCAGCTGAGCAACAGTCTTCATCAGAAATCTTGCCACCTAGAATTTAGACCAAGTAAAATTTCAGCCCAGAATAAGGGTTACAAATACTATATGCTAGAAATAATCTGTCCCACCCAATCAAAATGGAATATATCAGGTAAAGATCCCCTGTATACATTTCACCTCTCATAACAGGGATAACAGAGTAGACAATAGGGAAGGAAGAAGGCAGCTTGTCTCAACGAAGGCAATTGAGGACAGAGTTTGAAATTCTTACTCAACATTTCTTACAAAATATATCTACATCTTAGGTAAAAAGAAGCAGCAAGAGACATGAATTTCTATACCTGCAAGAGCAGCACAACATTGTCTCCTTCATATGTACAGGCAGGAACATAGACTGCAAACAACTCAGGAAGCCCGCTGCTGCAAAGGTAACCATGGCCGCCACACAATTTCCTACATTCTTCAATTGCATCCTGAGGCAACAGATAGTTTGTCTTGGTCAACAGCCCTTTCCAAAATAAGTTTATCAAGACAAACTAGAACTAATAAACTATCGAACACCAGAAGGTCGAACTTAGAGGACGTAAAGGATACAGGTTTGGCTTGCATTTCATAAACCTCAAATTGCTAAGTTAGAATGAAGAAGATAGTGAGCACATACAGCAGTGACAGAAGTAGTCAGAGACTTCAAACCAGCAGTACAGGCATGTGCTTCGGGCAAAGTAGAGAAGTCATTGGCTTGCAGTCTTTGTGTGACATCCGTGTAGAGCCATTTTAACCATTCACCGACAAATCTGAAAGCATATGCAGAAGCGATCAAAGGGAAGAGTCTACTTTGCTGAGTCTTATAATCAATCACCTGGAACAGAACAAGCAGCCAAAACAACTGTGAGGGACATCTTCCGAGCTACTAATCTCCGATCAGTTGGTTAGAGGCAAGCCCAAAATGTTTGCAGGACCAGAATCATGTCTCCAATATCCAGAAGGTAACAGAGGAAAACATAACCATAGAAAAGAGATGAAAGGATTATGGCCAAATTTAAGTTTTGGTACAAAATATGCTTAACTAAGTTTTCTTCACCAAAAGAATTGACAACAAATTCTCAAATGTACCTGTGTCTCGAGACCATTTTGAGAACCAAATTGCCTGCGAACAGCACTATATCTTGTGGCGATACAAACTGCTCGTGATAAAGCACGAGAAGCATCTGCCACAATTGTTTGTCGCACATAAACCATGGTACCATATATCAACTGCCGAGGGACATTGGACTGGACACATTTCCCTTCCTTTGTAACTTGCAGTACCCTATCAAATGTCCAAATTGGCAGAAAATACATGAGCAATGAGAATGATTGGAAATCTAGACTAGGCTTCGCCTGATAGCTGAGCAAGGAGTGCCATTTGGCCTTCTAAGTTCTCATTCTTGTTCGTATCTTCTCGGAGAGAATGACTAGCTCATGATCAAACTCCCTATTTTTATTCCTGAATACCAAACTGAACGGTCATTGCTTATGTTACACAGAAGCAAAAATGTACAATTAAGTTTAAGTTTCATGTTAAAGCAAATAAAATAAAATCGTGGCATTTCGGATGCATTTCCTAGGACCGTGGACAGTCTATGCCATGACATTAATCATTGACCTTATCTCGGGGGGGGGGGGGGGGGGGGGGGGGGGACACTAAGAGAACTAACCTCATCAACATTTGATCTCTCGGAATGCGCACATTATCGAAACGCAAAACACCATTGTCCATGGTGTTATAGGCACCATTCCCGAATTTCATGCCAATATCACCAATTGTTATGCCAGGTAGAGGCATGTGATCATCCAGGCTACGGAGCTGGACGATAAAACCTGAAATTTAAATTTCAGCATTATTAAATAGATCAACAATTCATATGTGTTAATAGGAGGAAAGTGATTTTGCTCACCATGCACTCCATGTTCTTGACCATCAGTAATGAGACGTGCATAAACAACAGCATGGGTTGACACTTTACCCAATCCACCAGGCCACCACTACATAAGCACAAGCATTATTCAGTTTCAGGCTACAGCCACAAAACAGACATTTTAACGTTGCATCAAAACTCAAAACTGACATTGTACCAATTCATCTTCCTTGCATAGCAGGAAAGCAAATCATAATGTTTACATCTCAAATGCAGTGGTTTCAGCCTTTCTTACTCACTTTGCTTGAAGTTAAGGTGGGACTATGAATGACAAATTCGTCAGTCTGGGGATCAAATGTTGCAGTGGTTTCAAGCCCTTGGACATTGGAACCATGACCTAGTTCAGTTTGTGCATAACAGCCGATTATCTGCATCCTGTGTGCCAGGGGCAACCATTTCTGCTGTTGCTCATCTGTCCCCTGCCCTTTAATAGCCGGCACAAACATTCCCTACACACAAACAGACCCAAGCCACACAAGCCCTGCCATCAGTTGGATGACAAATATGTAGAGGAATCAACATGGAACATGTATAAATAACAACTCTACTGTAAAACTGTAATCATTTGAAACTATTCGAAACATGAATTTCAGGGAGGAAGAAAATTGGACTAGATCATTTACCCAATGAAGATCGGTGAATGCTGGCTCGTCCACATAGAACCTCAACTTATTCGCCTCTTCCTCTGCAACATCAACACCAGCATACTATAAGATGGCTAACAATACTACATGAACTACCCACCCGCATTCGACATCAACGCAACAACTAGTAAATAGTCCCTGATAACCGCATCCAAAATCATAGAAATGCACCAGTAAGACGAAGCTCAATGATTCGCTTCCAGGCATAGGCCGCCTTCCTCAGAGTATTCTTGAATAACTCCTTCCTACTCATCATAACTCTGTTGTCCTTTCGAAACGCCTGCAAAAATTCATGCCGGCAGAAACGAACCATGTCATAGCAAGTCCCCGAAGAGTACACAAAACCTCTAATCCAAGAATCCACACATGTAATCATCCACAATTAACCCAAATTTGATCACTCGCATCATTTCCCTGAGGTCTACGAACCCGACCAGCTCAAGAAACCACACGAAACGAAACCCCAACTTACTCTCAATACGAATTAAAAAAAAAATCCTCGAATTCCCATTTCTCGTTTCCTCCAATCATCCTCCACCGTACAAAACTGGCCAACTAAAAAGTCAAAGGGCCGCAGCTAAAAGTTCACTTTCCAGAATTTTCTTACCGGATCACTGGCGACGAGACGAGAGATGCGGTCGGAGAGCTCGAAGTCATGGCGGGAGCCAGCCCAGACGACCTTCATCTCGTCGACATCGAACTGAGCCTTGCTCCGCTCGTCGGCCAAGTGATCGACTACGCCACCGCCGCTCTCCATTTCTCACTCTTCCTCGGAATCGGAAAGCCGGGCGACTCGGAGGAAAGCAGTTTGCGGTTTGGTGGTTGTTGATTGGGAGAGAATGAAAGCGAGCCCAGGAGAAATGTGAGCGTTTCCCGGCTCTGTCTTCCTTGTGTCGTAAATAAGGTTTGGTTGTTGGGCAGAAAAGAGTCGCTTTTCTTCTGTAACCGGGTAGAGAGAGAAAGAAGAGAGTCAGATCGGACAAGTCATTATCCCAATCCTTCCAGTCGTCGGATTTGTAGTTCCCGAGGTAAGGTGGGATATTTTATTCAATGAATATTACCTCTATTTTGTTGGAATTATACCGTTCACATATAGAAATAGACTCATTGAGGTTAGCCCCAAATGGGACCATGGTTGAAAAATTCGCATTTCTCTTCTGTCTAACCGTCCTATACCAAACTGCCAAACTGGCTGGACCGACAAAATAGGCAAGGCCTTAACATTTACGTGGCCTAGCATAGTAAAAAATCATTTAATATTACATACTAAATATGTTTAAAATTTTTCATTCCCATACTATTTAGTTGATGATTTAATTAATTATCTAGTTGATATTTCATGTATTAAATATAGATAGCACATGGAATACATTATTTAACAAATTTAATTGATGATTTAATTAATTAATTATTTTAATTTTAAAATTATTAATTTCAAACATTTTATAATCCATGTAAAACTTTGAAGCATGGTTGTCATGTCATTGTAATGCTAGCCGGTTGAGCCGGTCCTGACATCGGCGTGAATATCATCAGTATGACCAACATCATTGATGTTCAGCCTATAAACAAAATGACGTTGTTTTAGTGAATTCAATTAATAAAAATATAACTTATGATTTATTTCATGAATTTAAAAGTTAAATGTGAATTTTATTTATTGGGTTCAAATATAAAAATTTGGAGGTTGACGTTGAATATTGTATTTAAATGAATATTTGTTATTTTATTTGAAATATTGTATTTTATTTAAATATGAATATAAATTGCGAGTAAATTGTCTTCAAATATATAATTCATTTGATTTAAACTTTTTTTAATAGTTCTACATATTTGATGCCGGTAAGCATCACAAACTAATTGTACAAGTACCACTAGTCAAATCACTAGCTTTATCGTATTTAACTAAGTAAACTTATTACCTACCGATTAGGCGGGTGAGTTCTATTCCATAAGACCACCTTTAGTGTGGTTCTAAAATTCCAAAAAATTGAACCAAAACCACTTTAGTGTGGTTCTATCATTGATTATGTCATATTTACATTTTTTTTATTGAATTAAAAAAAATTATCAAAATGTTCGTCTTCATTAATTATTAATATCTAAATAAAAATAATGAATAAATCTTGTAATTAGAATAATGAAATCTACACTAAAATGAATTATGAGTTAAAGTGGGATGAATTATGAGTTAAAGTGGGATTGTGAAATTCTAAACTTTTGGAACTTACTATTAATGTCAACACTTTTGACTTTTGGATGGGCTAGAATTTCTAGCCCAAAATTTAGATTTTTGGAACTTGGCACTAAAGATGGTCTAAATGAGCATGTTCTTGAAATTTTGGTCGGTAGAAACAGATAGCCACGTGTTTTTCTTCCAACACAGAATCGTGTCAAAAGCTGCTTCAGACGAAGAGGAACGATTAAAGGAAACGAGCACGGCAAAACATGCGAAACGTGGCTGGCGCTTTCTTTTTCTTATCATTATTTCACACATGTACAACTCCAAATTTGGCCATGGTACTTAATGGGGAACTTACGCCTGATAACCTGCAACTAAAAGTAAAACTACGACTCAGTGATGAAGATGATATAACTTTCACCTAGGCTCATTCAATCACGCAAACAAAGCAACAACCAACCACTTCGCAGACTTAACATCAATGAAAATCAATGACCCATCCACACACCCATCTCCATCCTGAGTCGTCTCCTTCCATGGTCCACACTGGCCAAGCTGAAAGAGACCAGAGCCCCATAACCAGTAAGTACTCGAGCAACAAGAAAAAAGGTTGAAAGAAAGACAGCAGAGGTGGATCAATGGAGGGAATGGACAAAAATAATCATTCAGCAACTCGGCGAGTGAACGTTCAAGTAACTTTGGGTTAGTAAAAGCTCTATGGTTATAAGTTCAAAGCTCACTTTTCTTTGCACCATGAGAAAGGAGACACTTGAGAATTGCCATTTGTTACCAGATCAGTTCCTTCTTTCATCTGGTAGATATTGAAGCATCAGTAAACAGTAGCTGCCTGGACCATATCAACCTCCAAATTTAAGTACACTTCGCGGCATTTTACAACAGCAGCAGTTCTGACTCGCAAGTAGTTGCTTGTACATTGGCGGCAAACCCAACTTCGTTCGTATCCCAGCACCTGAGTGTCATCTTGCAGTCCGATTAAGAATGGAACAAACATCTGACCTCCGCATTAGCTCTACGCTCTCTGCAATCGTCGATCCAGCTGTCCCAACAAAACCGAGGGATGCACAACTACAGACGCTTTCTTCTATGTACAAGAGAACATCCGGTGATTTCTGACGAGGGCAATGCACATTCCCTCTGCTGCCTCTCTTTCCTACTTGCCGTGCTGTTTCAGCAACCAATCTATCTTCTTCCCTAAGAAAATGCAACTTAAACCGCTTCTCATCACTAGCTAGCTCACCCAGATAAGTTCCGCTCCAGTTACCCCGAGGAAGATCGGTCATCACAAAATTGTTCACTGGCTGACCATCCCCCTGGTTCAAAGATTCAAGCTTTTGTCTTAGACCCTGAAATGTAGCCTTCCAGTGGTTCTTAAACTGTCCATCTAACAATCTCAGCTGCGCACAAACAAAAGGGTCTCTTATCCTCTCCAATGCAAACTTCTTCCCTGCATTCAGTATTTCTGGGACAAACGGCATGAAATCTCCGTTCTTTACTTTCTGAATATCAATATAGGACTCTGAGCCTTTGTATGGAGCGGAGAAAAGGGACCCGAATGCAAGAACAGTGGCCGAGTCAGCTTCAGATCCCGGTCCAAGGGTCTTAAGCAAATCTCGACGTTTCCTTACATACGAAATCTTCTTCTTCCTCTTGAGCTGTTCATCGGGTTGAAACGAATCTAACTTCCCATCATCACCATTCTCATACGTCCATACCGTGGTTCTGCAGTCTTCCTCTACTGCATATAAACACCCACCTACGTTACCTTGAACCCCAGATATCACATTCCCACACTCCATAAGGGAATCAAACAATGAAGAAGACCCTGGTTTCAGATCATTTACACAAGTGGAATCCATAATTACACCACAGAATGAGGCTGCAAAGTCCCTGAAATCGATCTCACGAAGCGAAGCAGACTCTAGCCGCGAAATATCGATAATATCAGCCATTGATACGTACCTGCAGTAGAAGCAGTTGCCTAGATAATAAGAGAACCAGTAAACCCTAATTGTTCAATAAAAACCCGATCAATAAAAACCCAATCTAGCTCAATTAGCCGTGACCAACAACGTACAAACAAGCAATTCAAGCAAAGTGCATTGTATCTACAATTCGTACCTTCCGCTCTTCATCAATTCAACGGCGTGATTCCAAACCGAAGCTCGAATCTCGTTAGGCGCCGTAACCCGGAATTTCGGGCAACTTCCGAGGACAACGGCGTGGTGATCGAGGATCGGAGGGATGACCAGAGTCCGATTCAGAATCCCCGCCATTAACGCCGCGTTCTTGAGCTCCGACAGCTGGTTGCTGAACCCACTGTGGGGCGCGTACCAGAGAAACTTCTCTCCCACCCGGGATGAAGCTCGGATGTGTCCGCATTGAGGGTTCTGGGTACTGAGGGTCTGCGTTGAGAAGAGAGATTTGGAGGTGGAAATTGAGAGGAATAGGAAGAGGAAGAGAGCGAGAATAGAGATCGCAAGGATGAAGATGGCAGATCTGAGAAGAGATTGGGTTGTGGGTTTTCGCTTCGGCCATGATCTGTTTGTTTCTCTGTGGAGATTGAAGATCGAATTCATGGCTGCCTGCCCACGGAGGTTTTGCGCCGAAGATTTGCCCGGGAGCATTGATTGGGTTGACGTCGGAGTTGTCGCGGCGGAGCGAGTGGAGTTGGGTTGGGCCCTGATTTGGGCTTTGATCTGGTGATTGGTGTATTTCGCGGTTTGGTTCGCGGGCTTTAGAAGGCGCGCAAGATAAGTAGATAACCACTTAACCAGAATATGTTATCCATAAAAACTAGTTTTATTTTTTTTGTTGCCAAAAGATCACTTGCATTAACAAGAAAGAACAGATAACAACGTTCACACAACCAAAATTACAACCTCGAATGAAACCAACCAAGAAAATCAATAAAAACTAGTTTATCAAGCTAGATTAGATTAAAATTAAATCATTAGCGAAAATATAGAATTTATATACACCATAATTCAACAAGGAAGAATTTATTAGGTAAAGTTCTGAAGGAACACTAGACAAGAACACAAGGTTATGAAATTATACTCGAAGAGATCATTCTTTTCCCAAATGCAAATGCAGGTATTATTATTTGACGATTGTGAAATCATATATAAAGTAAATATCAATTAGATGTACGATTCAAAGTTTGATCTACTGCCATTCATAAAGTTCTCAATGGAAAACAAACAAGAATTATAAGATTATAAAACTTTAATCACGACGTTATTTATTCAATAAAATTTTCGATGAAAAACAAACAAGAATCATAAGATTATAAAACTATAATCACGATGTTATTTATACAAATTAAGGTGTTTCTAAAAGTTGTGAAAACATTTTAAATATTAAATCTCACATAAAAGTAAGGTCTAATGATAAGATGACATTTTTGAAGAATCGTATCTTTATCTATAGATGACCAGGTGAGAGTAACTTTCTAAAACCTCTACTTACTGAATCCCCCTATCAGGATTCTGTCTGAATCGGGTATTGAAGATCAAAGGCAAGTGCAAGAAGGTGACAGAAAACCATAAGCGACAGAACTAACTGAGAGGTCAAAGATTCAAATAATTTCTCTAGCATCTACACCAACACAAATGCTACAAAAACTACAAAGAACCTACCAACTCAGACACCAGTCAAACCCTAACTTAACCCAACAGTCTTATTAAAGATCACTCCACAAACCAATATAATCACTAAACAACACCAAAAACCAGTCTGCACATCACGAGTCTACTACCTTCTTCTCTATACAGTCACTTGCCAGAAGCCTCCCATCATACAGCATGTATCAGAGGGTTGCTGCTCGAGTTATTAGCTGTTGGATTGGCGTGGAAGGCAGATTGCCCTGACGATGACCCCTCGAGCAGTTTTACTGACAGTGAAGAGGACCCTGAACTACCCATCGACTCTCCTAGGCTCAGCTTCGACATGCCAACGAGCTCGTCGACATTGATCGGGTTTTTGGTATGTAAAGCAGTTGGCTTCAGAATCTCGTGGGTCCCCTCCTTTGTCGGCTGCTCTGGTAGTGCACTGTAGCCAGTCGGCCAAAATGGGAGAGAGAATGGGATGAACGGGGAGAAGTATGTAGGGTACACAACTGGGTATACAGGTGGCTGCTGATGCTGATGCTGATGCTGATGCTGCTGCTGCTGCTGCTGCTGTTGCAGGGGATCAGGCTTCGGAGGGAGAGAGCTACTGCTGTCACCCTCGTTGGAGTTGGACGACTCCATTGATTCACATTCTTCATCCACTGAGGGAGGAGGCAAAGCAGGGACTACATCGTCATCCTCCTGGGTTTCAGCATCAGGATTGCTGATAGGCAAGAACTCCTGAGTTGTCATCTCTGTATCAGCAGCCTACAAATAAAGAAAGTAGAATGATCACACCATTGCATGATTAGAGTGCTGACTACATGCGGATACAGATTTGTCCTTAATTGTAGAACTAGAAAAATTATAAAGGAGGGGTGGTGCTCACATCATCTGCAACTATATCGAAAAGGCTGGAACGCCTTTTCCTCCTTGATACATTACTTTGCCTAATGAAATACTTCTGAGCATGACTGGCCACCTGAGTGGGAGTCCTTGATATAACATAATTTCGTGCAATTCCACGCCAATCACCTTTCCCTAGCTTCTGCAAGCCTAATAGAAACATTCTATGCTCCTCTTCAGTCCATGGAACACCTGCTCGAACTTGTATATGTTAGCTGAACGAACAGACACAATAGGCTAATAGAAAACTCCAACAACAAATCAATAGTCATTCAAAGAAAGCATTCTTCACCAAAGAACTGTCTAGAGCATATCCTTAGAGCAAATCCATTGTATGATTCTTTATCCTAAAATAACAATCCATTGTATGAGAGCAATAAATTGCTGTTAAACCAAGTTAGTTTTTGCAGCGATCACCCTAATGTTTACCTTAACCGATTGATCGGAGAGATTAACTGATATTTTGGGTTGAATTAGAATTCCTTATTGAAGCCACTAACTTAAGATCATTTCATTCCGAACCCTGATCAGCAGATAAATTATCATTTCCAACTAAACATTTTTTATCCACATCTGCCTAGACGAACTAAAATCTATGAACTAACATAGTGAACCAATTCAATTAATCTCAATCCCCTGATCTGACTAAAGTTCCTCTTTGATTCCATTCTCATCTACATCTCAACTTGTTGTACGAAGAGGGGAGAAAAAGACACCAAAAAACAAAACCCAAAAGGGAAAGCTTATCCGGATGAGATTGCTTTGATGCCCAACTTCTATATTTCCTCACCAACGAAGAAATGAAGTTACAAATTGAATCAAGAACAAACCCTCAAACATTTCAATCACAATTTCTCACACAATCCAAGAAAACAATTCAGTATTCACAGAAAATTATTTTAAAAAAGGATCCTAAAATCAATCCAAACCTTTCTTCCTTTCGCGGCTAGAGGACGACCCAGCAACGAAATCCTCAGAAGCATACCCATCACCGGCGCCGCCGTGATCGTGGTCATCGCCGCCGGGCGATCCGGGCGGGTTCAGCCCGGAAATGTTCGTACCGCCACCGCCGCCGGGATTAGCCGAGCCAGTGTAATGGCTCAAATTGCCCATACTGGCACTCTTCCGGATCGAGCCGTCGGTCAATCGGACCCCGAACAGCTTGACCCCGCGGTTGGGGCAAGTCCTGGAGTTGTGGCCATTGTGGCTGCAGTGGGAGCAGCGCCTAGTCATGGCTGCCTTTCCTGGGTTCGGATCGGATCGAGAACCCTCGCTGACGATTGAACAGATGAATTCGGATCCAGGGGAAATAGAAAAGATTCGGGGAGAACTTACGAACGGTGTAAACGGGGGCGCTCTGTGTTTGCTCTGTGTGTCGTCTCTTTGAGATGGCTGGCTAGCGTGATAGAAGAAGAGAGGAAGTGAGAGAGAAAAAACAATAATATCCGTTTTATATCCATAAGTTTAGGGTTACGTTTTTTCCCCGGATAAAAAGGGAGGATTAATTGAAAAAAAAATTCCAAAAAAGATATTTGTTGGTTTTAGGCAAGGTTGTCAAATCGGTTTGTGCCCGTGTGCCGGTTTAGCAAGTGGAATGGTTCAACAGGTGGTACATACCGGTTTGTGCCGGTTCATGCCGGTTCATATTACAAATAATTTACAAATACTCATATTTAAACAGGACATTTAACGTCAATACCTAAATATTTGTACTTGAATCCAACAAATAACATCAACATTTAACTTTTTAACACATCAAATAAATAATAAATTACTTTTTATCAATTAAATTTACTAAGATAAGATCATTTTACTTGGAGATTCGTATATCGATCATACCGGTGGTGTCATACCGGTTTTATGACCGGTACAGGTTGAACCAGGTTCAACTAGTGGCACGCCGACCGGCGTGACAACCATGGTTTTAGGTGTAGTTTGCCACGGTTTTTGTACTGGAAGTGTATATCAATGTGACTTTTCGAATAGTTCAAAAAAAATGTGACTTTTCGAAAGGTTGCTTATCATTGTAGTGTTTCATCGTGAATATTTTTAATTTTAGAGTTCTTATAAAAATTCATTAATTTGATTCTAAAACATGTCTTATCAGTTAAAATCGATTTTTTGTTTTTGAATCATGGATCTTTCTCGTAGTTTGTCAATGTGAGATTTGTCTAAAGTATTACACACAGCCCCTTCAGTGACTTAACGTCCTCGTAGAGGTTTGCCTAACCCATCGTCCAAGAGGGAAAAGGCACAAGCTTCACTTGTAACATCTCAAACCTTTTTCCAAATAAAATATTTTATACCTTTGGGTCACAGAGGGTTTTGCTCAGGGGTGAACATCAAGGTGACTTTCTGAGAGGTCACTCATCCTTGCAGTGTTTCATAATAAGCATGTTTAACTTCAGAGTTCATAAAAAAATTCCTCCATTCCACTCCAAAATACATATTATCAATTAAAATATTTTATGTATGAATTATAGATATTTCTCGTACTTTGTAGATATGAAATTTGTCAAAAGTATTAGATTGGTTATCTATCTGGCAGGTGGGGGTATGGCGCCCTAGGGTGAACTGGATGGATAGGATGAGTTGGATAAGAATGTGGGACCTCAAGCTCCCACCTAAACTTAAGTTGTTGCTCTGGCAAATCCTTAATCGTATCATGCCTACCACGGAAGCCTTGATTGAGAAGAGAGTCCAGATTATGCCAAGATGTCCGGTGTGTTGGACAGAGTCTGAAACGACGGAACACCTTTTTTGAGAGTGTCCAGTCTCTGCAGCTCTCTGGTATCATTTGGGTTTGGACCATCTGGGGCATGGTTTGCCTAGAGAGACCTTCCCTTTGTTCCTTAAGAAGTGTTTGCTTAGGATAACCCGGCCAGACCAAGTTATGGTCGTGGTGGCGCTCATGTGGCGTATTTAGAAATCCAGGAATTGGGCGGCTTTTGAGGGGAAGCAATTTGTGGTTTCCCATTTGATGCGCCAATACCATCAGCAGTTGAATGAGTGGGTGTCTTTACCGAAGGATAGAGTGGACTAGGGGCGGGGTCTCTTGCAGGCCAACCTTCGTCTGTATGTAGGACGGTGCGGTACAGCCAGGCTCACATTCAGCGGGAGGGATGGTTGTGAGGGATGGCGGTGGGAATGTGATTTTAGCGAAAGGGTTGGTTTTTGATGACATTGTCGATCCCCTTGTGGTTGAGACTATTGTCCTCCGTGAAGCTATTCAGTGGTGTCAGACTCTTGACATTCCTCAAGTGCGGTTTGAAAGAGATGCGAAGATACTCATTGATAAGACTAATGCCAAAGATGCGCGGGATAGTCGTGTTGGGGTTATTATTAATGAGATCCTCAGTTTGATGGGTCTGAATAGTGGGTTTCGTGTTCGGTTCGTATGTCGGAATAACAATAGAGTAGCCCATTTTGTGGCTAGAAAGGCCCTTTTTTTGTCTTTGACTATATGTCGATTGTATGATTTTCGTGTTTGAGTTGAGCCCAGAGTGTAATTCCTGATCTCTTATTAATCAATATGATTATCTTTTGTTAATTTTTTTTTATCTATCTGGGGGTGTGAAAGTGACAAGTGTATAACGGTACAAGTAGAAGTGGGGAATCTCAACCGGTCGGCTGTTCATAGTAGGGGTGGGGTGGCTACACGGTCCGGTCCGGTTAAATTGGCCCAAATTGATCCGGTCTAGTCCGATTTTTTTTAGAATATAAGGACCGAAGATTGGATTGGATACAGTCCGGTCTTGACCCGGTCCGGTCCCAATTCGGTCTTGATTTTATATTGAGATTGTGGGAATTTGAGTGGCCTAAGGCCTAAAAGGGTGAGGAGTTGGTTAAGTTTTGTACTAAGTGTAAAGGTTTGTGACCGTTATGCAAATTACCCTTAAGTTTTGGGTGTTGAGCTCTCTTATCCGGTCTTTGTCCGGTTTTTTACCTCAAATCTAAGCACAAAGATTGGATTGGATTGTTTACTATCCGGTCCCGATCTGGTCTCGGTCCGAGTTATACGGTCCGGTTTCCGGTTTTTCATCCGGTCCCGGTTCAAATAGCCAGCTCTAGTTCATAGTCCACATTTGGGTTATGCTTTGAACGGCCTAGACAGGATCAAATCCACGTATTGTTTAATTTGGGTTCGATCTTGATTCTCAAGTATTTAAATTCTAATAATATTGGATTGGATCCTCGTTCAAGCCTGCGTTTGATTTTTTATTTGTTTATAATTTTCCTATTGTCCAGAGTTCAAGTGATAGAAGAGGATAGAATATAAGTTCTACAAATTATTGTATCAGCCAAACCAAAGCAAGAATGTTAATGGTAATTATGGCAGAGTATCGAATGTATAATCCTCTGTTATGCATATTTAATTTGGACAATCAATTTTTGAGAATCAAATATATTTTTTAATTTATTATTTTTTGAATGGACTTGTATCTCATTCATTTTAATTTGATTTACAAAAAACTTTGTTCACAAAGATTGATTGTGATACGACATAATGATATCATTTTCAATATAATGTACAATCATGATATAATGTACAACCATGATGTACGTTGATGTTATTTTATAAAAATAAGTGATCTATTTTTTTTATAATGGTGACATAAATTACAAAGGTAGTTATAGAAAAAAAAAAAAAAAGAAGATAAGCGAATTAAAACGAATAAAACATATTTCATTACCGAGAGTAATTATACATAGTACGGAAAATAAATTTACGTGCGGATCTGATCCCGGTAATTACAATTTACAACTGAATCGCTAAATGTCGCCCTTAAAATTGCTAACGGTCGCCCTAACTCTAATGATAAATGACTTATATACCCCCAATAAAACTTCAAAATTTAAACAAACCAAACAATCCCTAACCCCTCAAACTGAACCCCTCATCTGCCTTCTTCGCGAATCCCTCTCGACGCACCAGTCCGTCGGCGTCTTTCCCGTCGTCGTCGTCGCCTGTTCTCTAACGGAATTTCCAAAAAAACGCTCAACCTAAGACAAGTTACGGTTGGTCCATGGTGCAACTGCAAATGAGCTACGGTTCCCTTTTTTTGTTTTTTAATTTTTGGAGTGAACTTTACCGATTCAGAGTCGCTAGTCATGATCCAGACATCATATCGACGATTCCACTCCAGAATGACGATGATGGATTCTCTTTTTTGAATAATGTTTTATTTTCTTTACTAAGTGGTGTTTGTTTGCTAAAGGAAAAGTAAAGAAGCTAAAAGGTTAAATTTGTAACTTTGATATTTTTTAGGGCAACCTTTAACAATTTTAAGGGTGCAACTCCATTTACAACTACAGCAGGCTTGTGGGAGTCAAATAAAAGTTGATCGTGTCCCGGGGTACAAGCTTTGCTTTGCTTGTTGGATTTAATTTCACCGTGTGATTCATTGGGTGAAAAGGAGGGGAGATTTGGTGACTAATTGCCGTTGACGTTGACTAATGACTTTGTCTTCACAGTTTCAACGTGTGCTCTTTCTCTTCCACACTCACCCGGCCCGGAAATGGCCTTTCACACGGATATGATATGATCAAATAAACATTGTGCATACCATATCCAATCTCTTCTCTAGCCTTCTTTCCCAGGCAGGATTTCCAGTTCTGTTCTTTGATACTCCGCGTTTGATTTATGTTGGCGGATTCAGATTCTATGACGGATCGTTACGCGTGGCATTGGTCGAATTCATCTCTTTCTATGTAAAATGAAGAAGAACTAACTATCCATCCACATTACTAATGTTTTCGCAAGAAATACACACATTACTAATATTTTCGGACTATTCGATTCTATGGCGGATCGTTACGCGTCGCATTGATCGAATTCATTTCCTTCTATGTAAAATGAAGATGAACCAGCTATCCTTCCACATTACTAATCCTACCAAACATATATGGAGGTTCTCCTCCAACACCTGTACCATTTTACTTTTCCTGTTCTCTACGCATAGTACGGAAGGACCTCTTGGTCCTTTTGCTTAGCTTTTTAAAATTTGTGGGCTTATTTTTATTAAGGAGCCCCGCCTTCAACTGTAGGAGTATATTTAGGAATAGGTTATTAATTAAATTATATATCACCAACCGAGTTGATCTTCAAAAATTACATATAAATATATTTCTTTATTACGATAATTTTTACATCTCACAACTTCATGTGTATTCATGTCAATGTGTCTTGGGGAAAAGAAAATTTATTTTTATATCACTAAAATGTATGATTGATTCTGAGTAGTGTTGACCGTCTAACTTAACGATCAACTTACGTTTCGGGCCAAACTAATCTAGATGGTGCATAGTTTAGGTCATATGGGAATTTCATAAATCACGAGCGAAAATAGACTATTTGTGTAAAATTCGAGTCAATTTAAGGCATTAACTCATATTTTTATCAGCCTAATTAAATATATCTT